GAAAATGACAAATCAAAATGATGCCAATTTGATAAAAGATTGTGCAGAATTATTTAAAAGTAATAAAAATGCCAGGTCTGGTGGCATACACCAGTAATCCCAGCACTTGGGAGGCTGGGGCTGGAAGATTGCCAGGAGTTTGAGGCCAGCCTGAGCTATCTAAGCAAGTTGAAGATCAGCTTGCCTACATAGCCAGACCCTGCCTCAAACCACCCTCTAAGGAAAAAAGAAAAGAAACCACCACCTGATAAACATACATTGGCAAGGGCCAGCCAAATAGCTCAGCTGATTAAAGCACCTGCAAGCAGGTGCAGGGGCTGCGAGTCTGATCCCCAGGGCCTGCTGAGCCGGCCTGCTCCTGGGGTATGTTGAGAAGGCAAATGAGGCTGGCTGTGGTGGAACACGCCTGTAATCCCAGCTCTTGGGAGGCTGTAAACTGGCAGATCACTACGAGTCTGATCTAGTAGTGAGACCCTGAACACCCTGCAGACTCCCCCCCCACCAAAAAAAAAAAACAAACAAAAAACACTGGCAAGCTTTCCAGTAGCTGCAGTAAAAGGACCCTGAGAACCAGTCTCCCTACAGACCAACCAACAAGTAAAGCACACAGCTCCCTCGAGCCAGTAACACAAGGATGCGGAACACGTCAGCCTCCTCCTACATGTCTAGTTTTCGGAAAATCCACCAATTTCCAACACAGCCATTTTTTAAGCTCCTACTTCAGGAATTGGTGGAGATCAAGGAATACAGATGAACAAGGGAGCAGGAAGCCTGGGCATGGTCTCACAGGACAACAGACGCTGCTGAGGCAAGAAGGGGAGTAGTGAGGCAGTCGGGAACCAAGCAATGAGTGAGAAGGACAAAAGCAGGGTCCTGCAGGACAACAGGAAATAAAAGCCCCAAGGACACAAACGCTGCGCCTCTGTGCTGACACTGCAGACTGGAAGCAAAGCAGCAGGGACAGTGTCTTGCAGGCCTCAGACAACTGGAGACACGGGGTCGGGTGGGCACCCTGCAGAAAACAAACCAGGCCCAGGGAGAGCAGGCTGGAAGTCAAAGTGCTCAGGGAAAAGGAAAAGTCACAGTTCTCAGCTCAGATTAAGATTTGTAAGCACACAGCTGAGTAGGCCGTGACCTCATGGCTCCTCCACTCCACTCCAAGCTGTCTCTGTGCCCTTCTGGACTGTCAGGAGGGACAGCGGGTGGCTCCCTCTGCTTCTGCAGGGCTGAGGCCTGGGGACCAGAAACACACTCTGGAAGCTCCTGCAAGTTCTGAAGGATGTGAGCAGGCGTCAGGCAGGGTCCCCACAGTCGCAGAAGTGTCTTGTGTGCACCTACTTCTACTGGCCTAGTACACAGCACCCCGTCCACCTCCCTGGGGCCCAGGAGCTGTGGGTGCCCTTGCCACTGAAGCCAGGGTCCATCTGCACGTGGTGGCCCACGCGGTGTACTTCTCCCCATACTTGCTAAGGTTGTGCTGCTGCTTCTGAGCCAGCCTGCTAGTACTGCGTCCTCGTCTTTGTACTGGACTCTCCTGTTCAAATTATGTATAGACTGGGCATGGTGGCACGGATCTGTAAACCCAGCACTAACAGCCAATAGTGCATTATCGATCCATGACTAAAGCCAGGCACAACTAATATAAATGAATAAATAACCAAGGAAGGAAAAGCTTCCCTTGGCACACAGAGGCATACATAAATGTAGGAGGCATAATGAAAACAGAAGATCACCGCTTGATAGAAATAACTGAGGTATACAAAAGTCAATAGCCAACACTAGCCTGGGGAGTGTAAAGGTTTAATAAAGAACGGGATACCCATCATCACCTCAAAAGTATCTACTCTCCAAATACCAATTACAACGAGAAAAAGAATAATTTTACAGTGAAGAAACTTAAAAAGATAAAACTTCTTTAACCAAATGATCAAAGTCAGTATTAGCAATGGGACAAAATGTGGCATTCCTGCCCAAGCAAAAGAAAAAATACATAGCTTTAATAAAACCATAGCAGGTTTCCTTTTTTCCATTTTATTCCCTCACATGCAATCTTTAACCCTCCTCTCTGCTCAGAACCTTGTACTCTGTCTTGTTCTGATTAGTCCAGGCTTGCAGTGACGACTTTAACATCCCTTGTGTGGGGTGCTGCATACACAGAGCTCATCTTAATTCTTTTTCATTCCCTTTCTCTCCCCTTCTACCCCTCCATCTGTCAATCCCTTTTCCATCTGAGAAAGATCTATCTCCCTACTTCCTTTGCCTTTTATTTTGCTCTTTATTTATGTATAGAGTTTCTCATATAAGAGAAACCACACACTATTAAGCTGTGGTTGTCTGACTTATTTCATTTAGTGGTATGGTCTCAAGGTGCATCCCAGTACTCTCCTAAGCTGTATGCAAAGTGGAAGAGAAGCTGAGGACCAAAGGGGAGGATTTCTGAGAAGTGGAGGCGTCATGACATAGGAGCACTGGCCCCGACAGCCACAGGTTCCCACACCAGCTATGACCTGCTCTGCTGCACTTGCCTAATGTCATTTAGTTTGCCCACTGTGTCTGTAGCTCCATCTGAACCCTTGATAACATTCAGTCAGATGTCACAGTCCTGGCTTTCTATTTACTGTTTCTATAAACCACTTCATTAGATCTCACTCATTTCTTTACTCTTGTATTTACATATTCTATATGCTGAGTACTGTGCTAGGTATTCCAGAAATGGAATGGATTGTTACTTTGTTCCTACAATGTATGACATCCTAATAACAAAGCCCACCTTACTGGTCTCATGTATACAGACAGGGCTGTTGAGATCAGTTACGAGGTGTAAGACACAAATGAATGTTTAAGTTAAAAAGGATACCAGTAGAAGACACCCTGCCATGCATGCCCCTCACTTCAAACACACTTATCCCCTCATTCTTGCACTGTCTGAAGCATGCTTTCCTGAGTGTTGTTATGGGGTGTGATCACAATTACAGCGACAGCCAAACGGGGATGTTTTGGGTCAATTCAAGACAGCAAGGCAGCCAAGACAGCACAACTGAAGACACTGGGGAAAGAGGACTCTACGTGTGCTTCATGAAGTGGCAGGAATGATGGGATGACTGTGTCTGTAGTGACAGGGAATATTTTGAGGGGAATTAATAGCAGAGTGTCTTTATGGTAACACTTCTTTTAAAAAATAAAATTAAGTATTCAACATATTTTTTGATAACATCTTGTAAGGTAATTTACGTGAGCACCATTCAAAGAAAGTTCGGTGAAAATGTACTTTCAATTTTGCTTTTTACATAATACTGTAACAATAAAGTTCAAAATAAAATTAAGCCATTCCCGGCTGAGAACTATAGTTGAAACTGAGAAGGAGAAAGTCCCGAATTGTGGGACAGCTTTCCCACACGGAGCAGAAGGGCAATGACAGTCTGGGCTGCACTGAGAAAAAGGACTGTGAATAACCTAAAACTACATTACTCAACACAGAGGAGAGAAATGGCAAGGAGAAACTTCTGAGGGCCACAAGAGCCAATTCCTTACCTGTGGAAAACTACCAGGAGAGTGGGAGGGCAGAGCAGTTCTCAGTGTAGAGATCTTAGAGGTAAGGCTTAGTGTTGGTATCCCGGGATGAGTTCTGTACTATTCAGAGCAGCCCAGCGCAGAAGCCCTGATTGTGGAGGGTACAGGCTCCTGGTCATACAAGTGTAAGTGGACAGGGAGACCAGATTGGGGGCAGGGAAAGGGCTTCTGGTACTATGTTGGGTAGCCAGAGATACTCACAGAAGCCAAGAAAGGGAAATACAAAGAGTTTTATATAGCGTGCACAGGTGATATCCCAACTGTTGCCAGTCAGGAGTATCACCCCAAGGATAGGAAACGGCAGCTTACATCGCAGCTGCTCCAGTTTCTAAAAACAGCAGATACTTTCCAGAAAGGTGGAGTATAGAGTTTATCTAATCACATGGTAATAGTCACAGTCATAGGGTCCTTACAGCATTTTTCAGAAACAGCATTCATCAGAAATAGAATCTGCTTAGCGATGGAAACTGTTTAACATATAATTTTGGGAAGAAGAAGTTCATCTAAGGTTTAAAGGAGGGGCCGGTGAGATAGCTTAGCAGACTAAGCGCCTGCTTTGCTAAGTGCAGGGACCAGGGTTCTTTGAACCCTGGTCCCGCATGCTGTGCTGGCCCTGTCCCCGGGGTGCACTGAGGGATCAACCGAGTCTAAGCTTGGTGGTGCATGCCCTGTAATCCCAGCACTGGGGAGGCTGAAAACAGAAGGATCACTATGAGTCTGAGTTGCGTAGTGAGACCCTGCACCAAATACATAACATGAAAAATACACATATATATATAAAGTTTAAAGGTGTTTAAGTGGCTTTAGAAACAAAATGGAATCACTTTGCCACCCTACTGGGAAGAGTGCAAAGACTTCGTGATTCCCTGGACTTCAATAAATCCCCAAAACTATTTGTCTTATTTTTATTTTTATTTTTTTTGGTGGTTCTGGGTACTGAACCCAGGACCTCATGCTTGCTCTGCTACTGCACTACACTCCCAGTGCCTTTTCAATTTATATATTGAGATAGGAAATTGCTAAACTGCTCAGGCTGGGCTTGAACTTGTAATCCTCCTGTCTTAGCCTCTCAACTAGGCAGGAATAGCTTGTGCTACCATGGCTGCCTTGTCTTTACTTTTTAAAGAAGTCTTTTTCCTCTTCTTAACACATGAAGTATTTGTACCTACAAATTCTTTTTTTCTTTCTTTCTTTCTTTTTTGGTATCAGTGATTGAACTCTGGACCTCGAACCTGCTAGGAAGTCACTTATGTTACAGAGCCATCTCCCTGGCTCTGTGCTTACAAATTCTGAATATGTTTTGCTTTGTTTTGTTTGAGACAGGCTCTTGGGGGCCAGGAGGATAGCTCAGCAGCAAGTGCAAGGTCCTGAGTTCAATCCCCAGTACCAAAAAAAAAAAAAAAAAAGAAAGAAAGAAAAGAAAAAAAAGACAGGATTGCACTATGTAGCCCAGGCAGACTTTGAACTTGAAATGATCCTCCTGCTTCAGCATCGTGGGTGCTGGGATTACAGGCATGTGTCACCACACCTGGCTCTGCTTTTAAAAAGTGCTTTTCTTGCTCACCTTGGCAGATGAAACAATTTGCCTGGCTTGGCGTCGTGACAAATGATCGATTGTCCTTATTAGCACTTCAGGATCCGCACTGGCCAAGTGCATTAGACTTCTGTAACCTGCACTGAACAACTGTTTTGCTCGACCCTGGAAAGCATCACAGAAATCAGTAGGATAAGAATTTGGGATAAGGGAAAAAAAAAAAAGACATGGGAAGAGACCACGATAACAGAATCAGTATGAAGAGATCAGAATCTTGAAGAAATTTCAAAGATACACTTCAGTGGCTACAATCTGATGGCCAGACAGCTTAAGTCAGGTATGCTAAGGTCAGGAGCAAGAAACGCATTACGGCATTCAGGCTGGCGGCACCATTTCAGATCTGCAAGCAAAAGTTCCTCCAATATTCTTTTAATGTTAAATGACAATATTCTGAAAATGTTCTCATTATCTACTCAGGGACCAATAGTGTGTGTGTGTGTGTGCGCACACGCTTCCCAAGCAGTGCTAGGAGCTAAATAACTGAGAATAAACAAAGTTGAGGGTTAACTGAAAACAAAGCTGCAAGGTCCGCTGACAGTCCTTCCTTTTCACTTCTTTAGGAAACAACTGGCTCTGAGGCCCTGAATCAACATTATCATAAACAAACACAGAATCCAGATTCTCAAAAAGTAATTCTTCACTGGAGCAGAAGAAGGAAGAGGCTTTAAGGACCAGTGGTAGCGCACTCACTCTCGGGGACTATTGCTCTACCCTACTGCTATATACTGCTTTACAACTAGGCTTTTTCACTGGGTCTGCTTCCCAAATAACAGTGGATTTCTGGGAGACCATGGTAACAATTTAATTTAAAAAAAAATAAAGCCTGGTCTGACCAATACGCAGCAGGGCTCCTGCCGTGACTTGATCTGCAGCTGACGTCACAGAATAGTCTTTACAGAATTGCTCAACCAACCAGGGCCGGCCTCATCAGGGAAACCACAAGCTACTAACCTCTAAGACTCCAGAGACCTCCATGAGTGGAATCAGCTCTGCCTTTACGCAGTACGTCAGCTTCTTGGTAAGCTCCACCAGAAGGGCTCTGTACACCCAAAACTCCTCAAGCTCCTGTGAGACACAGGGAAATACAGAAATTTTAACTTTAGGAGCATATTTCTTTTTTTTTTTTGGTGGAACCGGGGATTGAACTCAGGCCCTTGCGCTTGCCAGGGAAGTGTTTATTCCACTGAGCCATCTCATGGCCCCCAAATCCACCTTTTTTTTGGGGGGGCCCGAACCAGGGATTGAACTCAGGCCCTTGAGCTTGCCAGGCAAGCACTTACCCTACTGAGCTATCTCCCCGGCCTCTGGGTGCATATTTCAAAGTCCAGTTTGTGTGACAGGGCTTGGAGAAGATGTTCCTCCATGCAAATGCTGGAATCGGCTAAGCTGGGGGGAAAGGTGAGTCTAAGCCAAAGTAGTAGGAGTAAAGGCAACGGAGATCTGGAAGAATCTGATGAACTAGTTCTAGGAGACAAGACTGCAAGTTGAAAAATAAGTCTAGAAGAGCTCTATTCATTTTTATCAAAACATCAGGATGTCAATGTAGTTTTTCTTTCTCAGGTTAAAAAGAAACTCTACCTCAGAATTTATCCGAAAGACAAGACAACTGCAAGACACTGTTCATGCACCATTATTTAAATGTACAAATAAT